ATTCTGATTTTATTTTTATTTCTATTAGAATTATTTCATACTTGTATTTTTTATTCTATAGGTGAACTGGAAGGTTGTTATTTTATTCTTTTCGACATTTCTTCAAAAATATTTTGTTTGATTGCATAATTTATTATTCAATCTAATTTTTTTTGTAGTAATTATGTCATGCACGAATTACTCCCAATTCATATAGATTACCTCCCCAAATTCAATCGGCCTATATATATTTATTGGTCAATTCATATATTAATTTGATTCTAATTTTAAATTCAAACACGCTTTCATTATTGATTTTATTTAAAATTTGCTTGAATGTCACTTTTTGTACATACCAACCGACCTCCAAGGTCAGGTAGTGATATAGCAGAGTTAGATGACTCACACAAACTTGATAATCACCAACACTCATCCTAACACACAAGTTATGATCAAGTGAGTGGAATTTTGGTCTCACTAGACCATTACAATGATATAATTACAATTCATTTCCTTAATCATTAATTCATAAAAAACCAAATAAGTAACCATGCAAAATTAAATCTCAAATCTATACATACAGAGCTACTGAACACATAGTTGTAAAAGTGTATTTCCCCTAAAAATCATAAAAAATCATCCAAAAATTTTTACAATTCAAAAGTTTTACGAAGGCAATCCACCTGGCTAGTTGCTCGTTTGCTCCTTACACCTCTTTGAAAAAGAATAACATAATATAAGGTAAGTTACATGAGAAATAATATTAAAGTAAAATTCAATAAATAAAAAAGAAGCAATATGCTACTAGTCATTGACTACTCTGAGTAACAACAATAAATATATAAATATGTTTTGATTTAAAGTACAAAAAATATGAAGTTCATATAGTACTAGAAGCAATGATCTATAATGATCTAACTGTGACTATCAATAATTTCATTCACTCTAACATGCACAATTTTGTCTTATATTTTTTTCATGTCATATACTTTCTTCTCTCATGATTGTCAATATATACTTGTATAAGGTTTGATGATTCATTTTATTTTGTCGTCATATAGCCCGTTGACTATTATATTCGCTAATAAAGGTTGATCATCCTTTAACTTAAAATTTATCAAGGGTTCTCTTACTAGAAAATGAACCGTTCTAAACTCAATATCAAGAGTCGAAAATTCAACCATTGCCTTGTCATCATTTCCTACACAAGTTATCAACAAGATTCTTTACTTATCACAATACGTGTAACTTTTTTTTTTTTTTGATAACTTTGCCTATTATAATCTTTTTGAATATGCAATAATTATTTATATGAGTATACTTGCTACCAAATTACTTATTAAATATGCTAAGAATGCAATGTTATCAATAACATAAAATTTTATGCTTAAGTTTGTTTTTCTATAAAATTTGTGGTAAATATAAAAACAAAAAATCTAAATACCTATTATATTCAATGAATAGTTGCAAGCAATGATTCTATTAAACACCTTGATTTTTAATGTAGTAATATATTATATCACCTTGGTTGTCGGTTCACCCACAAGACAAGTTTCCCAAAGCTTGTCTTGAACCGTCAACATGGTATATACAACCTAGAATCATAATTCTCCTTATATTTTAGTAAAATTTTAATTTAAAATTAATTTAATATATTTATAATCTCAGTTTCATTTTTACCTCAAATTGACTTTTCTCATACAAAAAATATTCTTAATATACAACAAATAGCTCTCTATTAGCTTGATTGTATTCATAAAAATGCTTTTAGATAAAACATTTATTCATAGTTACATCTATATCAACTTGCTTACCAAAACTTGATCAATTATGAACAAATAAACGATTAGAGATAATTTGATTCATTTAAAATTGTTATGATCATCCTAAACAAACTTTATATATGATTAATTTGATAATTAAAGTCATTTTGGCATATAGCCCATTTAAACTCACATGGCTCAATTAGCATAATTTGGGTCAATTTTGCATTGATTGAACCAAACAAACCAAAGTTTAGGCTTAAATCTTATTGCATTCAAACTGTTTGACAATTGATTGAGAGGATTTGATTAAAATGAGATATGAAGTCTTCCAAGAATAAATGTAATAGGGTTATTAATCCAATTGACTTATTTGGACTATTTGAATGATAACAAAGCGTTCTACCTTTAGACTCTGAGTTGCTCATGCCAACTTCTCATCTGTCTTAAAGATTTTAGCATCCTTTACTTTGGCCAAGAATTGTAGTCCCTTCTTTATTCAATGAAATATCTAGTACTCCCATTTGTAAACATTCCTAAATTCTGTAAGGGGCAAGACTGGGGATGTTCTTTATAAAGGCTTTGATTTTTTGTGGTTACCTTTCTATCTTCCGTTATTTTCATTTGGTTTTCTTTCATTTGAGCTAACTAAGAAAGTATTACTTATGGTTTAAGGGGAGTTTTAAACATTGATCATTTGACTTTGGATTTTAAAACATCATTATTCAGTCTTCAATAGAAATGCGACTATCTAAAGTAATTACTCATTATAGTTATTATGCTAATGTTAGTCTTTTAAGATTTTGTAATGGTCCTCGATCTATGATGTTCTTAAGGAGTCTTTGATCTCTACAATTTGGATGTCTCCCTTATTAGAATCCAATTCATAAACATTCATCCTTTTACTGATTGCATGCAGTTTTGATAAACTACTTTTAATTAATTTCTTCATGAAAAATTTTTCTAGATCATCTTCCCTAAACCTTCTTGAATTGGTGTTATGAAGTCTTTTGTAGATAAGGTGTGGGGATTGTCTCTAAGCCTGCCAGTGGATTCTAACAATTGTATTTGAAGAACTACCACATTTTACTCATACTACCAAATATTTGACCATCTTAAGTAATCCTGTTGTGATGCGATAATGTTCTGCAACAAAAAGGTCTTGAGGAATCATAAAAAGGATAGTGATTTAATTACTGTTAAGGGCATTAACAGCGGTGGCAATGATCTTATTCTTATATCCAGTTACAACATCTAGCCTTGTTAATTGTAGTTTTCATCAAAACACCATTGTCATTGCAGCTATTGGTCAGGATAACCTATACTATGTATTTTTGGATACTGCAGTTTGGCATTGCCCAAAATACTTCTATTAATTTATTCTCTGATGGATACTCTATTTGCGGTTGATGGTTGAAACCTCAACACATTTGCAGCTCTCATCACCACTTGTGGTTGATATCACTTTTCCTCGCTCACTTGATTGTAGCTCAAAATGTTATGAGTACTGGTGTCGTTGTAAAAAGGGCCTGGTAAGACTAAGAAATGTATTAAGGTGCCTACAGGGCAATTTGGTTGTCTGAGTTTGTGATGTAATGTAAATGAAATGCTGGAATTTCTAAAATTTTGACTTTTCATTTGATGAAAATAGTATATGGTATAAAATTTTGATAAATTTGAAAGCTATGTAGTTCAAAACTGATGAATTCCAAACTTGTCATATTTGGGTAAATTATAAATACACTGCAAACTGCGGCCGTTATTGTCACTACCACTGATCGTAGTCGGCCACAACTGCGATGCCCTGTTGGCACCAGCTATCGCATGCTATGGCCCCTTGTCGTCTCGTATTTCATGTTGATTTTATTTTTTATCAAGCCAAACACAATTTATTTTTCTTCAAATCAAATAACTTCAAAATATTCCAAATATGCTACTTTTGATTACACTGAATTTTCTTTAGCAAGCTAAATGTCTAGCCCCTAAATGCCTTTATTTCTTTCCGACCCTCCACTGATATTTGCTTTCATTTGGTTCTAGTTTTGGTTTTATGGTGATTGTGGGTTTGGCTTAACGGTTTACTGGAGCCTTGTCTTTTGTTGGCAACAACATCCCCGGCCTGTTGTGCCACTGATCGTTACTTGTACCATAGCAATTATTTTAGTAGCTGGATTTGTTTTATTTTTGGTAATGTTGATTTCCGGAGGCCAAATTTTCTTTTGAGCTATTTATTTCTTTCAAAATTGTTCATTGCATTGTTATGGGCCATTAGTTCTCTTTATGTGATTTCTTTTTGGGATCAGTATTTTATTTTATTTTTCCTCAAATTTGTTCAAGGCATCCACTTAAACTTTTACGTAGCAATTTTGTAGCATTTGGTTATCCAAGTTAATCTCTTTTTTTGTTTCTTAAAAACCTTATATTTTACAATTGCTTGATCATTAATTGATTGTATTAAAAATGTCTCAATCAATGACATTAATTGCATGTAAAGAATTTTATGAATTTCATTAGATTGAGTCTTACAATTGAATTGACATTTATCATTTTATAATATTTAGCAGATAATGTAATAGTAAAATAATACCTGTGTTAAGTTTAAAGAACTTAATGTATACAAGAATGATATCTTGGGAGCAACATATTGATAAGATGGGACTTAAAGCTAAACTTTAGAAAGCTACATATAGGTCAGCTGTATCATATGGGTTCGAGTATTATGCAATTTTAAATCTGTTTAAAGCCATATTAACCATGATAGAATGAGAGATATGTTGGCATAGCTAGAAAGAATAAATTAAAGAGGTGTTTGGTAGCGTGCTATTAATAGATTTAGTCACTGGATTTAACCTGAATCTAGCCAAACATTAAAAAAATAATAATAAAAAAAAATAAAAATATAAAAAAAAAACTTAAATCCAATATTCCTTTAAATTAATTTTTTTGCTTTATGTCTATTTTTCTCGCTTTCTGTCTTTTTAAGGATGTAAATCCGGATTTAATAAATCCAATTATAAGCCGGATTTAAGGAATTATTCCGCCGTTTTGTTAGCTCCATTTCCGTTGTGGAGATTCATCAGATTTATAGATCCTATTTAGCGTAAAACCTTGTTGCTGCCTTCGGTTGATAGTATTAAAGGGTTTGTTCAAATGAATGGCTTATGATAGATGAAGAATGCACATGTGTTGGTTTTCTTATCTATACCAACTTCACTTGAAAGGACAATCTGAGTTATCATTTATGTCAAAAATTTTCAGATCCCAGTAACTTACGCTGGTGGTGTGACAACAATGGAAGACTTGGAGAAGATTAAGATTGCCGGGATGGGGCGTGTGGACGCGACGGTAGGAAGTGCTTTGGATATCTTTGGAGGCGATCTTGAGTATAGCAAGGTCGTAGCCTGGCACTTTGAGCAAGTCAAAGAGAGCAGATCCAAAAGTCTCCCCTGATAGGCTCAACTTCAACTATGCATCAGTTTATCAAATTTGGTTGAGGTTTGGGTTTTGTTGGTATTACTAAATTTTGATAGGGTTGATTGCATATTCTTATAATTTTAAGATTGTTTGTAGTTCTAAGCTTGCTTTTAATTGAAAGCTTCCTTAAATTTTGGTTGTTATGTGTGTTTAACCATTTCCTGCACTAATGACACTTATGGTTTATAATGTCACTTCTCTTCTTTGATTGAGATGAAAAAACTGCAATATTTCTCATGGAGAACATTAAAAATTTTGAGGAAAAACAAAATAAATGAGATATTCTCCTTTTTTTGTTGTAATTTTAAATTTTCATTTGTAATTATATTATATGTTTTTATTTTCGTTTCGCATGACTTGTCTCAATTTTTATTCATTATCCACTGATTATCTCTTATAGTCTGATCCTTGTTTGAATGTATTCGATCACTATTCTTAAAAGTAATTATTGATTAATATGTATTATGGTTGAATGTGGTTTTCTAATAAGTAGATAACCCCAAATAAAGTTTGAGGAAATCTTGTAAACGTTTCTATTATAAGCCCAGACAACGAAATCAAAAGCAAACTTACCCAAAACACAGAAAGTCAGTCTCCGGAATTTACACCAGAAGTCATTTGTTGAAATAAGCTTCATTGTATTTTGTCATTGTAACCCTCAAAAACTATATAAGAGTGTTACAGTAAGCAGGAAGCAAGTGATATACATACCTGATTCAAATTATTTGCATGTCTTTTTTATGGTATCAGAGCATCCCCTTAACAGCAGCTCTACAATTCTCTGCCAATGGATTCTGCTCCATCTTCCTCGGCTCAACGAAGCCAGCACCAAAGATGATTGAAATTAGTATTCCCTCAATCAAATTATTGATGGCATGTATCAAGAACTTATCAGTATCCCTACTCATAAGTGAGAATTATTATTGCATATTCATAGGCTATGACCAGTATCAGAAAGTTTATAAATGTTACAACCAAATCACAAAATGCCTCATTCGCTCGATACATGCCACATTCCAGGAATAATATATATATATATATATATATATATATATATTCTTTTTTTCACATCCTAACCAACAACCCAATATCCTAACAAGCAACACTACCTCATACATACCCTCCAACTTTACCACCCCCATCTCTACACTCCAAAAATCACAATCCAAACTAAGAACAATATAACACAACCCAACAACACTATGACTACAAACTAGACACCTCAAACCCAGAAACATACTCAACCTCACTCTTTAAACGCCCCAACCATAACCAACCACCTTTCAATAAGCTACAAAATACCACCACTGGTGATGTCAGAAGAATTCTTAGGTTTAAAACAACAAGGTACATGGACGCTAGTACAACCAACACCCAATCTGAACATACTTGGATGCAAATGGACTTTCAAGTTGAAGTCCTTTATTAGCATCTTTGTTTTGTATAAGCCCCTTATTAGTAGCATAGGGATATAAACATCAACATGAAATCGACTATCAAGAAACTTTCAGCCTAGTCAAAATTTCTCACCATACATATTCTTCTGACAATAGCAATAACTAATTCCTTGGAAATAGAACAACTTAACTTTTTATGTGCTATTCTACATGGCAAGCTGGGAAATATAGTTTACATAATACAACCATCAGGTTTCATAGATAATTAACATTGCAATTACATTTGCAAATTCAACAAAGCTCTGTACGGGTTGAAAAAAAAAAAGACAGTGGCACTCAACCTCTTGCACACATCTCTGCAAACAAGGATTCATAATCATCAAAGAAGACCACACTCTTTTCATATATCACCATGACGTCACTTATTTACTGACTATTATATGTTGATGATATGCTCATACAGACAACTTACCCAAACTGATAACACACCTCATTCACAACCTCCACCAAACCTTTAGCCTCAAACAATTAGGCCTCATCAAGCACTTCCTACAGCTACAAACACAACACACCGCACCACCACACCACACTAGGACTTTTCATTCTCCAAACATCATACCTACAATGTATCATACAAACAGGCAGCATGCAAAACTTAAAACCTGTTTCCATACCTCTCTCCACCAAACAACCATTGCCTTGGATACTCCATAGAAGATATTAGTCCTTTACTCATTTGAAAATCTCAATTTGATTAAATGTTAGAAAGTATATATTTCTTAACCATACAAAAAACTTATGAAAGCATATGTCTCAAATGATACATACTTTTTATTTGTTTTTAGATCTTAAAAAGGCATAAGCCTTAGTATAATAATGGTACTCATTCATCTAAGAAAATAAAAAAATTATAGGCCTAAACAAGTGCATTATTAACTTATTTATTTAAAAATCATAACAATTGTGTGCCTCAAAAAGGTACAAAATCTTAGTTTATCTTAAATTCTATTAAAATTGCTAAAATTTGATAGAACAATAAAGCATATATGGCTATATATGCATATATGGATATATACGCATGTATGGCTATATACAATTGAAGGGACAAAAGTTGTTGTTTTTAACCCAAAAGAAATCTCAATTTATTACTAACTCAACTATTCAACAATAGTAGCTTGGTCTTTTAGTGGGAACTAGAAATTTTAAATGTCTCAAAGACATTTAAAGGACCGTTCATTTCTCTAACATATTGATTTGCAAGTTCATTATTTATCATATCACTTCCCAACAATTTGATCATATGGAATAATCAAGCTTTTATATTAATACATGATAAAAGGTACATCAAAAACTTCACTAAAAGGTGAATTAGTCTAAGGCCACATATAGTGCTATTACACCTAAATTATGTTGGTGTCTTCTATTATAATAACTGGAAATCACCTTACAATGCTTTCTGCATCATCATCAACATATAAGGAGAAGTTTTTGAATGCTTGGCCAAGAGACAATCTGCTAATATTAGCTCCAATCTTGTGATAACTTAAATGAATCTTCTTTAAGAGGTCATGAATATATTTTCTTAATTTTACAAATATATTTGTGTGTGTGTGCACGTGCGCTATGAATTAAATAACAATTTTACAATTATATCTTTGTGTGTGCGCGCGTTATGAATTAAACAAACGATTTTACAAATATATTTGTGTGCGCGCGCGCGCGTTATGAATTAAATAACAATTTTACAAATACATCCATCTGTGTGTGTGTGTGTGAAGCTTTCTCTAAAATGAATCTATATCTACATCTATTAAAAATCATAACTCGAGTAAAAATGTTGCAAGAAAATTTTGAAGTCTACAATTAGTGATACGCTCAAAAAAATGTGATTGATGAATACTCTATTGTATCAAAAATCTAATATTCGCCATGCAAAATTAAAAATGTGAATGGAGAATTTTTTTGTAATTATAGGAAATTTATAAAATTCTTAATAATTAGTTTTTTTTATTTATTTATAAAATTCATCAAGGATAAACGCATTGTAATTCCAACATTAAGACAACTAAAATAAAAATAATTTTAATAATAAACATAATAAATTTTAATGGCAACTTTTTGAAGCGGCAGAAATGTTTACATGATCATTGAACAAAACACGTAAATAGAAGTTTGAAAAAGAAGACTACAAGAAAGCTTGATAATTCTTAAGAAATAGAGAGTATAAAGCACTAAATAAATTCTTCTTATTTTTTAGTGGACTTCCTTCATCGTTATCTATACATTAAGTACACATCATTGCACAAGTCATTATATCTTGCATTTGTGACAAAAAATTAAAGAGATTTGATTACTTTAGAGGTAAAAAGTGTGCCTTAGTTCAAATTTGAGTGAATGATCTTCTCACCTTAGTTCAATCCATATGAATCAAGATGGTTGACTCTTTTTAAAACAAATGATTAGAGCCCAACAAGTGAGATTATTAGAGGACAATCAAACGATGATACTCAACCCCCATTTATGCTGGAGATTGGATCCCCATTCGAGGGACTATAAATTTCAATTATCATTTAAAGTTTTTGTCTTTATGGAATAAATAGTAGTCCACCTCTTGATAGAGAAAAACTCAAAATTTCAAAGTGGGAATTAGGAATTTCTAACAATCAAAGTATGAAATGTTGTAAAGTTCTTATGAAATCATTTAATGTTATATGTTATATATATATTATATATATATATATAATGAATTCTTATACATCTTTGGTTTTATTAGGGACAATTTTTTTACATCTTTAAATAAAACATTTAAAACTATTTTAATTTTGTAATGTAGAATTAATGGGTTTGACATTGTATGATCACCCCTCGTATGCATGCTAAAAGGCATGCACTAGTGGGTGTCGCCAATGACTACAATAGTTATCAGCTAATCACCACTAGGTTGGTGGATATATTTGACCAAACATGTGCAATCAAGCTGATTTTTTTTAACTAAATACATCATTTTTTGACATGTTCTAATCGTTGGATCCATTGCAATATTTTTAATCTTAATTTTGTTATATTTAACCCAAAAAAGTCCTATAAAGTTTCAATTATTTTTTTAATTCAATGTGCCAACTTCAAAAAAAGTTAAAACCATAATTGAGAATTTTCCTAGATAACTCACAACTTCAAAAAATATATATATATTAATATTTAAAAAGTGATCTTATCTCTTACATTTTCTTAAATTATGATTTTATGCCGTTAATTTTAAAAGAACCAAACATATAGAAGGAAGATCGACATGAATTAACGATTAAGTTTGTATAAAGCATGCTTGTTTGTATGGCAAAAGTTTTGTTTTAAATAGCATATTTTGGATGACATCAATTTTGGCATTAAAAAATAATCAGTAAATTTCTTACACTTGTTGAGAATGCAGAGACATGCAGAAAGAATAAAATCATAATTGTTGTGTCGGAAGTTTCATGGCGGTAGTGATAAATTAACATCTCATTGTTGCATTAGAATTTAGCACGCACATATAATAAAAGGTATTTGGAGGAATCACAAAGTTTTTTAACATGGAAAACCTTGGAAAAGGAAAAAAAAAACATGAGGCCAAGCCTAGTCAAAATAATTCACTATGTGATTATCATAAGTACATAGATATGCTCTTCTTCTAAATTAGGGAAAATAGACTTATGAAGTTAATGTACAATTATGGTCAATCATAATAACCACAATCGGATTTTAGTTCTTGATGATAATAGGGATAGAGGGGCGCAAAGGACATATTTGCTTGTTTTGAAGAT